TCTAATCATCAGCTGTTTCGTCCGCTTTATCGAAACATGTATGTAGGTAGACTGAAATGTAATTAAAGACCCGACGTAGTTCATATTTTACATTAAACCCATTAACTCATAATGTGTAAAGAGCACATTATACTTTTCTTAGACTTTAATTAATTCAAGCAATAAAATGAATATTTAAATAATGTGTCAATAAATCAAGATATCCAAACAATATTTCAAACTTATTGAATATAATTATATAAATGAAATATATTTAATTATTATAAAAATCAATACTTCTACACTGATTTGTTCTAATTTCCTGAATAAATTTTCGGAATAGCATCACAGATTAATTTTCTTATTCAATTAATTTTAGTTTCAGTTTCATATTTCCTAAAAATGGTACACAAAATGATATTTTCTTTCAATTTATACAGTCGTGTCTGTTTTTTGTGCAGTTTATTTTTTTATATATTTAATTCTTTAATTAGTATCAAACAGTGTGGAATATTGGCGGACTCGAACTATGAGTGTATATTGAATATTAAAGTGAGATTTAGTCTTGTTGAACGCTTCTTTTGAACAAATACATTTTGTATACATTTTAGTTAATCGACCCTCACGACGAAGTTTGACTTTATTTATATGAGGAAATTTATTGGAATTTCCACCTCCTGTGAACATTATTGATTCCATACACGTTTGTAATGTTATAAAAATGTTATCAAGAGTATTTCTCTCTAATTTATTAAATGTATCTTGAACACATTCAATCAATCAATTGTGTTAGTTACCAAGACGTTGTTCATTGAACAATTGCTACGATTTGGCATCTTTGTAAATTCATGTTATTTGGGTTAACATTTTCCATTATGAAATTACAGCGGTGACTATTATATATTAAAAAGAAACTAATTTTTGGTCTTCAAATTACAACTATAACTCAAAAGCAACGACTGTCAAATATCTTCCGTTATTTAGTTATCAATATAATTAATATTGACAGTTGCTTTCGAAACTCTAGATAATCTAAGATTTTCTTTCAAATGTATTCGGACAGAGAGAGTATATTTTCTGTAATTGTGAAAAATTTAACTCATTACCACAAAATGAATGTTCCTTCGTTATTAAATTAAAACATCATCAATAATGTGTAATAAATAAACTTTAGTATTGGAAAATACAATACTTTTGAACTGTTATATTTCAAACATGAATATAAAAATTAGAATTGTGAATTCAAAATATTTAAAACCAGTACGATTAATTATCGATCCACCAATTTTCATGCAATTATTGTATTCAGAAATGGAATTGTCATCATAAAGATCCTATTTCTATTAAAGATTGTATTTTTTGATCTTTGAAAATATACAATTTTTGTTTCATATGGAATTGTTATTACTAAAATAACAATACTCTTTTCTAATGTAACAAATATGACTTTTAAATTATTTTATTTACTTAGAAAAGAAAACACTATCACATTTTTATTAAGTGTTTTAATGCTTTCAATTATTTTTTAACTTAATATCGAATTCCAACTACTTTGAAAGTAAAGATTAATTGAATATAACAAATTTCAGCAAATGTGAATAATAATACCAATTTATTGAATTAATATAAATGTTAACCTAACTAAATGTTAAAATATATCTCTAATTGTGAATAAATGATAAAATTGCATTCTCTTAAATTTTCGCTAATTGTAAAATAAACTGATTTTATATATTTTATATAACCAGTTGAATTAATTAAGGATTAATCAATTTTCGTTACTCGCTTTATGTAATTTCCTCCGACACATTCGAAACTGTACTGCCTTAATTATTCACAACTTATCTGCATTGCATAAGACCGAGCAATTTCTTTTCCTCCCTCCGTTCATTCCTGTTTTCTTTTATTATTCACTTGCTTATGCATTGTTTATACTCTTTCCTTCAAAATCCCGGAAACAACGGCCGGACAGTAGAATTACGTAAAGCGATATTAAATATGCGCCGATCGGTTAAGCAAATGAATAAATGGATGGGCTTTTAGAAACCTGGCAATTACCTGACGCTTTTCTTTCTACCGAGCGTTTTATTCACCCGTCTCTTCATTTCCACGATCCCGAACCACATTCGTCGTTATATAACATCTGCATTCGGCATTGTTTGGAGGCGAATCGAATACGTAACACATTGGAATTCATTTCCGCGCGCGCTGATTTCGCTGATCCATACACATTCATTTTTTTCCTTTTCCATCGCAAATATTTATGATTATTAATAACAAACGCAAAGCAATTACGTGAAGCAAACGCAACGCAAAAAAACACACAACAACGAATTACGAAAGCAATTAAATAAGGCAAAGAAAGCGCAGGCTAATTAACCGAGAGCTCAATTAAAATTCAGAAAATTAAAGGTGGAAAAAACACAAACCTCGAACATCATTAAAAATCAAAACTTTCATAAATAATACTCGTACTATTTTATTTTTTTATACACATATTTTTTGCTTGTAATTATTTAAATATATTTTGGTGCGTGCACTGCTATTACGCTGGATATTGCGAAAAGCGGTTACGCAACTTCTGCTTATATACATATGAGTGTATACAAGTATGTATGTATGATTTTTTTTCTCTTTTTGATTGGTTGCGCGCGCGAATTGTGCAAATCTGATTTGCTCTCGAGAATATATCATATCTTCGACGAGATATCGATAATTAATAATCCCGCATTGCACACGGCATGTGTTAGGAAACTAATTACTGCAAGGAGTATTGCACTTTTCTAGTGCAAGGCTAATAATATAAAGTATAACGCCCTGGCACCAATGACTCAATATCGATAATAAAACTTTAGCGAAAACGAAAATATTATTATCAGGACGCGATTGTGATCGTACATGTTGTTTCTAATTGGCCGTTTCGTGCGCAATGCTAATTCTTATGTCATTGATAGTTAAAGAAACGCCGTACAACCTATTTATGCATGTTTATAATTAAAATAGTTCAATTATAGGCTCTAGTTAATTTAATCAAGTACATAACGCTTTTTTGTCATTACATCTCTGTTTATTTACGATCTGTTTGCTAAAATCGTTTTTGATCAATTCAATTTCTTTTAGATAAAATTTTCAAGAAAATTACCCTTGTATTTTAATCTACAAAGCCAAATGTCATATAATTAATACTAGAAATAAAAATATTAATTAAATATGAAAATTTACATTCAAGTTAATTTATTGATTACGAAAGACTTGTTTAATTTATGTTTATATATTTTGTAAATGACAATACTTTCTCAACCAGCATAATCCTTTCCAGAATTTCCGGATATTTACTCGTATAATGAAATACTCGTATATTGAAACAATTTTCTCCATATAAACTAATGTAAAACACGATAATGCGTTCTATGTCGGAAAAAAAGGATAACTCGCTTTTTAATGATTTTGCTTTTCATATCTATGGTTATTTTTAATAATAATAATAATTATTTATTGGCCAAACATCAATACATATTAAAAAAAAGTACATTCTAACATAAAATAAATTTTTTTATAGGCTGGTCAAAGGGCTAACGACCGAGGTTATTTTTATTATTTCGCTTTTTATTGTGCAAGTGTTATTAAATTTTAAACAAAAAAAATCATAAATAACTTATAAAAATACAAATAATATAAACACAAGTTATGAAAATGATGTCCCAGGCGCACAATCTAAGACTTCTCCTGTCCTCGTTACTCGTTATGCAAAACTTCGCTCGTTAAGCGAGTCATTTTTACAATTTGTTTTGCTCGTTAGGAGAAATGCGAAAGTGCTCGTAAAAGCGAAGTGCTCGAGGTTCCACTGTATTGTTAATTTGCTTTGATAATTTAATATTTGGTTTTAGTTTCTATAGTTACAATTGTCGTTTGTAATTAACGTTTGATATTCCTTTTTGCAAGTAATAAAAATAATTTAATTTTGTAAATTAGTTACTTAAATGATCATAGAAAATATTAAAAATTATCAAAGCAATTTAAATAAAAATATATAATAATATATATAAGTGTATCAAATCAATATTAGATCTCCAAAATAAATACTTTCCGGACTATAGGACGCACCGGGCCATAAATTAGAGACAATTTATAGAAAACTATATTTTAATGATACCTTCGGACCTTAAGAATTTGAGTGCATTTTTATAACTGCGAATGGAAAATTTTCTTGTCTTTACTTATCAGTTTTAATTGTTTCTATTATTTTCTCCATTCTCTCTGTTGGTGGTGGACCAAAATGTCTGCTTCTCTGTTTCCATATTGTTTTGCATAATTGATCATATTTAGTCTATACCTCACATTATATGAAAGTCTTTTTTGTTTTATTTTCAAATAAAACGCGGACCACAAGACGCACCCAAAATTTAAGTCCATTTTTCTATGTAAAAAAAGGTGCCTTTTAAAGTTCGAAAAATTGGTATTTGTCATATTTCGTTTTTTTTTTTATTCATATCATAATTCTTTATCAAGAAGTTTAATATTTAAATATGTTTATAATCTATAAAGTGTAAAATAAAAGATTAATTATTATGCATCAGCACCTCACATAGTGTGGATAATCAATTCCGCCAATATCCCGGACTTTTTGAAACAGAACTAAATAAATACAAAAATAGACCACACAAAGAGATTTTTCCCTTTATACAGGTACTACTATATTTTTTAATATATTTTTAATTTGTTCAATTCAATTCAATTAATTAGTTACAAGGAAATGATATGAAAATGGGATATAATAAAGTAAAACAGTTTCAAGTGTAAAACACATTTATATTTATATTATTCGACAATATGAATACTTATGTTGAATAAATTTGATTTAAGGATAAAAATGATGGAATGTTAAAATATATGATGTATAAGTAAAAATATATATATATCAGTCAGGTTTACAGGAATTATAAATATAGAATAAGATTAAATTACAAAATAGTAGAAAATAATTAAAGTTTTAAAACGGCTAATATGAATTGCGAAACATTATTAAATTGAATTAAAAGAGGACAATCATACGCGCATAAAACACGCTAGAAAAATAAAATATACCTGTAATGAAAAATATATATAAAAAATATAAATAAATAAAGTAATTTTCGTGGCACTCAGACATCGGACTCTTTCTTCAGTTCCGTCGAGGTGAGAGCGAGAACTTGCTCGCAGACCTTCTTGTAACACCAGGAGTCTCCCTTGAGACGCTTCCTCCTTATTCCTACCATATTGGTGACGGTGACTTTTTGTATGGCAAAGTCCACACTATTCCCCGACTTGGTCTTGTACTTGTTAGGAGTCGTGGTATCCACTTTTGGAAGCTTCGTCGGCGTACTGCCCTTCTGGCTCGGCCGCGGCCCCATCGCAGGCAAATAGCATATATCTAGCTCGAAAGAACAACCACCCCCGACGCGTTGCATCGCGTTCGGCTCCATCTTACCCCTAATGGTAAACCTGCAACAAAACGCAATAAAACATATGATACAAGGCAAACGAAAAAAAGGAGCAGCAAGCAACGGAGAGAGAACAACAAAATACATATTCAATATCCGTTAAGGGAATCTCTTTTTATGCGGCGGCGATCGCATCACGTTCTTTTGCGGCCCAATAAGTTTCCGGCCTTCTCTCGTTAAGTGGCCAACCAGTTCGGAGGGCTCATCTAAGAGTGCAACAAAGAACGGACGAAGAGAACGAGTAGAGAACGAGCGACGCAGAGGACACGGCCTCGAGGTTTTGTGGTTTCAGACAAATTACAAGTTCTCATGAATGAATGAATGGAATCGCAGCTACCGTTTCAGAAACTCTTTTACACACTTCTCTTTTACACTGTACACAACATATAAATAAGATCACTTTTCAAATTACATTCCACTTCCTTTGCTTCGTCATTTCTATTTTTTTTTTATTCTTTGCTTTTTCAATCAATTTCAAAGAATTTCTGTAAGAAGATGAGGAAAGATGGATAGAGATAAATAAAAAGTATATCTGACGAGTTACATTGAGTCATACTGTACAGTTAAATTGTTGAATGAAACAATATTGCTTGGCGAAAAACGAATTGAAAAGTTTCTTGGGAACTTGGATACTCCAAATTCCTCGAAGTGCGAGTTGGGATCCAAAAAGGCTGCTACAAACTGTGGCAATATAAATGAGTTGCTGTAATTTGTTGGCGTGGAGAAAATTGGCAACAATTCATAGGTAGACAGACACACTGGCTTGGAGTTTCAACTGGAGAAGAAAAGAGTGTGGAGCAGCAGTATGTATTAATTGCCTGAGCGGACACGGAGGATATTTATGTGGCAGTGTTCCGAAGTTGCAATGTTAATGTGTATTTAAGCATCGATATCGGAGGATGCCTCAATTCCTGGAGGTGCAGTAAAGTTTAATTATGCGCTTGAAGCACGTCGGCGACGCTCGAAAGACAACGTTCTAAGAATAAAACTAGTGTGAAGCTGTGAGACCGCCGACAAATACGGTAACGTCGACGAGCAGCAATAAAACAACCGCATTCCCGACAGGAATCCTTAATTAAACGCAGCCAAATACCAACCGATTTTGGCCTTTTTGGCATTTCGCGTACTTGCAGCGAAAATTACAATTCACACCTCCTCCTTGTGATCAGCAAAAAGGGAAAATAATCGCCTCGAAGGACGATCGAGGAACTACAAACACAAAAGACGATTAACAGGTACTCCTATCGGAGTCCACGTCCGCGACAATATTTTTTGTTGGTTATCCCGTCCGCAAAACCTAGCAGTGATTGATCGTTATTCGATACGTACACTGCTTATTTGGTATAATTGCCCATCGTACTATATACCATTTCGTAACTGAAAGAATATCGCTCTTATCCGAATCTTCAATGAGCAACCAAAGAAACTAAAAGGACCACCAAATAATTGAAACCACTGCAAATTTATGTACAACTTAAACTGTTTCTAAATGAGCGCGACAAATACATTTAGTTAAATCGTACACAAATTGTATACTAGAAAACTCAGAAGAAATTGAAGAGTAAAAAGTCATTACATTAACATTACTACCCACAACTAAAGGACTCCTTAATGGAGGACTCCAACATATAGAATAAGTATCTAAGAAAATAGACAATTCATTCTCCTGTCCGTAAATCATATATACCTTAAATAACAAATTAAGTTTCTGTGCAAATAAAATTTAACCTTTTGTTAAATATTTTACAAAATTCTTATTAAAAAAAATTCTTTAGCAACTTCTACGGTCGATAATTTTCACGGTTGTACTTCTTCCCTTATCGATAACTATAACTATCGATAAGTATACATTTGGATCATAACACCAAAATAAAATAAAACTGCTTAAAACCATCGTTAGTCGTTCAACTATGTCTTGATTTGCAACAAACATTTTCAACATATATATAATAATTTAACTTTGACTGCTGCCTATGTTCAAGTCCATTAATTCAAGTAAAACAAGTTATTAAATAGATTACAGATCGTGTACTTTTGCTGTTATCTAACCAGCCGTAAACACGAGTAAAATTTAAATTAGAACTGTAATACTCACAAAAAATAATAATAATGCTTTATATAATAAATTATTGATATAAAATAGTTGAAAATATATTTATTTTATAAAATATATACCAAATACTATACCAAAAAAAAAGAAGTTTAAAAATTATTTTTGAGTTTTCTTTTGGAGAGCAAAAAAAGTGCATCTCGTAATAAGTCGAAAATAGTTTGAATATAAGGATTAAACAATGAGAATTCATTGTTTAAACTATTTTTTTAATATGATGTATTTAGAGTAAGTATATATAGAATTGCAGAACTCATATATAAACAAGTTATACCAATTAAAATTGGATATACTTTATGATACTAATATTTAATAAATATAATTCAAACCTACGTTATTGTTTATTAGTAATATGTGTAAAGCAATATAAGTTCTTGCTGTTATGTGTGAAACTGTTATTAGTGTTTTGTGTAATACAATCGTCTGCATTTGAAATAGTCGTTTGTGCATGGGTTGTGTGAGAGAAGGCTGTGTTAATTTACGAGTGAGGGAAAAAAATTGCGCGGCTCGCACGGGCAGAACAAAACGAATGACCCAAACGGCCCATAACTCATTTACTAATCAGCCTCACTTATACACGTAATTACTTATGTAACGAACAAGATATTTGGCCTGAAACTATACACAAGCGCGCACATACAAATCCAATCTCGAGCTTTAAAAAAATACAAATGTTCCATGCGAAAACTGGTAATACGTGTAGACAACCAAACACGCAATATTTTTAATTAATCACGTTTCATTCAGAGTAATCGATTTTTATAATAGTTTTTCTATTATTTATTGCAACCAAATTGATTATATAACTATATTACTATTTATTTATGTTTAATTAGTTAATTATATTAGAAAGAAACATTGATTTATAAAATTATATTGATTTTTAATTAATCATTCGAAATAATACCAAAATTCGATTTATATTGATGCTTATTCTTAAACTATTAAACTACTAACATAAATTCAAATGTATAAAAGTAACCTATATTCAACGGAGAAACGAACCTTGTTTATGGTTTATATAAAATAATTGAAAATTAACTGCAATAACTGGATTGGCAGAACAGTTTCGTAATTAACCGATAGCTCGTGTGTTGTTGTTGTTGGTTCGTTTCAAACATTATATATGTCTGGTATTTTTCACGTTTAACGTCGATATTATAAATCGAAAACTCTAATAGCCCATTGTGTATATTTCATAAGATAACGGTTCCGAAAAGGAAGTGTGCATTGAGGAATTGTGTGTATCATGTTTTTTGTAAGCACTCACCCTTTCTTCCTTTCACATTGTATTCCTTTCTTCTGCAATGCCTTCGTCAGCTCAGTGATAACGTACTCTGGATCGGTGCACTGGGTCGTCGATACGTTACATAAATCCTGCACATAACAAAAACAACACGTGCTTATATTATTATTTATTAAATGCTTACACACAAGTCATTATATATTAATACAAACAATTGTCATATATAAAAATACACATTTCTATCTAGCAGTTCGTAAAATATACATTAACATTACATATTTCTGCAGCAATTAGATATATTTACACTGTATGTATTATTTCAGATAAATAAAAGTAACATTGGTAGTTTTATTGCTCAATAATAATACAGATAAAAAACGATATACAAATATAAATATAACAGAACATAAGAATCCGAACCAGTAGCACTAGATCATCCTTCGAGTCCTAAAAATCGAATTTCATATTCCGAAATTACTTTAATATTAAATGATAAATGAATATAATAAAAAATTATATCTCACTTGCAGCAGACATTACAATGGCACATAACACACAAATGGCAACATTAATTGATGATATATTTATAACTGTTACATTAATTGAATTGTATTATGTCAAAATTTAGCTATTTTTATTATTATTACTGTGTATGAAAATGTTCAATTTTGTTTTTTTACTGTTGCAATAAGATTATTATTATTATTAATTATTTATTTAGAATTAGAAAAGTAAAATTAAATTAACCAAATAATATCAATAATTGTTACATTTACCAACAATCAGAATTATTGTCTTTCTTAACAAATGATTTGTATTGATCAAATTCGGGTTAATTAAGTATATTACGTAGAAGAAAGTACATCAAGAACATTAGCTAAAGAACTTATCACAACGCAGTAACTTGCAGCAAAACAAGTTGTTGAATTTAACAAGTACCAAGAAATGCACAGTCAAGTGCAAGCTAGATCTTATAAATAAAGTAGCAATTAATTTATTTGATAAAAGCCTAGCAACGACTGGAATGATTCAAATCAAAAGATTTACCATTTTGTAAATATGTTTTATATGTAAACAATAAATGTTACTTTATATTAATAATATGATATAGAACAAAATGTAGTACTAAAGAAACTGCAGTCAAGTAATTTTTCATAGTCAACTTTATATGAAAGTAATTATAATATTAGTTTAAGATTAGTTTATGTATTGTAACAAAATATCATTGAATACCTTTTTTGGTATCTTTTTAAAGGGCAAAAATACATAGACCATTGGAGCAGTTAAATTTTAATGTTATTATTGTATTGAGTTTTTTTATTTTGTAATTTATTGTTGCAATAAATATTATTATTTGCTTTTTTAATTTATTTAACAATTTTTATTGACCCTTTTAAGACCAGTGTTATTATTTTATATTAAATTCATTCAAAATTCATTGTTCTCTATAATATTTACATGAATTTAATTGTGGTTGCTTATTATATTGAAATAATAAATAAATAAACACAAATTATTATATAAATATGATTTCTTAAGCAAAATATATTTTAGAACCTTAATCTTGTATTTATTACATATTTCTTGAATTTCTTGGATAAATCTTAACCCTTAAACGCCTTATTTTCCAAATTAAATTCAAAAAATATCAATATATCTATTGTAGTAGCCAGATAAAGGCATATATAATTAAAGAAATCACATTACATATTTTTTATATAACTTTTGTTCATGACCATTACATACATACTGCCAAATATTAAAAACAAAAAAAATTGCATATGTACAATTCCATTTAAAAGTCCGGTATCAAATTTAAAGGGTTAAATGGAAAAACGTTTTAAAAACGGAAACATTGTTAAAATTACGGATTTAGTTTAAGAGACTTTAATATATTGACTTTTTAAATGCATGAACTGAATAATCTTTAAACTATGCTATATAATGGTTTCCTTAAATAGTGTTAGTTGCATTCAAATTAACAGCTAATAAGTAGTTATTGATGAATAAATCCGATTTTACAATGCAAACAAACAGAAAGCGGGTATTAAATTATATGCGATATTAGATCGCAATTAAAATATGATGGAAAAAGCAGATGGCTTTGCGCCAGAATCAGTCGATTTATTACTCATTCGAATGAATGAACTAACGACCGTACAGGTAATTAAGTGTTGACATAGGTAAATTCCGGGGTGGGCTCTATGAAAAATCGCGAGTAATGAAAACGTATCGCGCGTGTTTAATGAGGCTGTTAACAATTAACTGCTCGGCTCGGCTCTGCGAACGAATAGTGAAGAGCATCAGCAAATGCGAACTCTGAATGTCCGGCATGGAATAAACAAACGAGTTAAGGTTAAGTATGATTTCCCTGTTGCTTTTAGCTGCCTCCGATGCTGCTGTTGCTGCTGCAGTTACTGGTGTAGATTGTATGGATTTGAACCTGGCGTAGGGTTCATTAAAAATGGCCACCACGGATGAATAATGCGAAATGGTTTAATATTGAAGCCCGAGTCTAGCTTCCTCCACCCAGGAACTAATCGAACGAATTAAATGTAATTACCGCATTTAATAATCATCTGAAATTGCTGCGCGTATACCGCTAGATTCTTCTTTATCTAATTTATTGCATAATTAACTTTTATTTGTTTACGATTCGATCTCGCCCCGATCCGCTCGCATTGAGCCCATCTCGGCCGCGCATTTCATCAATTCCCTTCTTCATTTTCTTTAATAACACAACACACGGCCAACGCGAAATTGAAACACACACCATATACAAGGTGGGTATGTGTGTAATAATATAATATTGCCTCAACGTGACTGAGACGCGCACCTATTTCCAAATCAGAAACGAACGAAGGAACGTACAATAATCATCGGCCTCGCCATACGCACAAATGCAGAACCATCAATTTTATGCAAACCTCATCAACGCGGTCAAAACTAATGTTCTTACCTTGTTGGTGAGCACCATCGGTCCTCCAGATGAATCCGATGGTTTTCTGGGTGTCAGGACATGTCTCACTTTGTGAAGAGACCTCTCGATGCTTCCAAGGACTTTCCTAGCCGAAACCGAACCTGATCCTTCATGATTTCCAGGCGTCTTTCTGTAATTTTAATTGTAGTAATAAATATTTATTAAAATAACAATAGTAATGTAAAAGTTGGTTAAGAGAATTAAAATCTATTGTTCTTCCAAAACCTCACTTTTCATTATTTTCTTTGACATCGTTTTTATATTAACAAAAATATTAGTGTTATCGGCTTTACATTTTTCCAATAAATCGATAAATTCGTAAGACAAATGTGTATAATTCAACTTTCTAATAGAAAAACGTCATCCAATAAAACCTACCTAAAGTTAATTTGTACGTTACAATTGAATGTTCTATGAATATTCAATTACACTTCCGAGTTACGTAATATTTAATAAATTTATGTCATTCAATAATCAAAATAATTTCAATAAAAAAAAGTAAATATAATTCTGAATTTTTTCTGTATGATATATTATTAATATTTTGAGTGATATTTGGAAAAATATAGTAGTAAAAGATATATGCATATATTTTTTATAGAATAGTTTAAAAACAAACTACAAACAAATTATGGCATTGATACCTTTGTTTGATAAACATGATACAACTTGTGAAATTGTTTAGAAATAAGCAAATGCAGCAAAAAAAATAGATCTGTCAGGTGTGGGGTTCGAACCCACGCTCACTTTCGAGAACCAGAGCTTAAATCTGGCGCCTTAGACCGCTCGGCCAACCTGACTGTATAACATAATGCTTCAAAAAGTAATCGGTACCACAAATTATCGTGCATTTTAATTATAAACTAATTATATAACAAAAACATTTGTAAAATTTCACGATAAACAATATAATAGTTTTGCAGAATACGGTTCTTATCGGTTCCAACAGCTTTGTTTATTATAACGCAACGTTGAAAGATAAACAGGTTGCAGGTTGACCAGGCAGAGGTAGACCCCTTTATTTTCCCCCTTTTAGTTTACGGCCGCGACGGCCCATACAACCCCCGAGTTTACGACCTTTATTAGCACCCCTAATCGAGTTCGACCACCAAATAAACTGAAACAGTATACGGGCCTAATTAAAATAGCCGCCCCCCAAATGAATGTGCACAGAAATCTAGGCGATTTAAATACCGTGAATAGTCTCCGATTTCTTTTTTAAACTATTATTTTCAGTTGTCACTCGTATTGTTTTCCTACATATATTATTACTCACATTTCAGGAGTCCTGGGATCTGATATATAGGCAGCCGTCTTTTTTATGGGAACTGAAATACATACAAACATACCCGGTCTTAATAACAAAGTTTTAATTAAGTCAAGCGGCGTGTGTCCAGCCGTCCATCTGATCGCCATAAAACAACGAGACGAAGCAATAATTTTCGAGAAACTTTCCGCAATACAAAGTGTTTTGTCTTTGCCGGAAAGGGGCGAAAGGGCGGCTCTTGAGAATGTTCAAGGACTGTTGCTTCCTTCTTTATGGAGGCAAAACTCTTAAATTAGTTCAACTTTAACACAAGTGTCTCTAAACAGTAATAAGAAGGTGGAATATCGGACCCGCGGGACATATAAGTCCGCCCTGATCTATCGCCCCTTTTAACTTTGTTATATTATTCGATCTATTCCCCTTTTCACGATGATATGCTGCCGCTCGGTCGTTATATAAGCCCTATTAAAACGGCGATTCCATTTATTTTAACAGCTTTATCCCCCTTAATATCCCCCCGATGCAACCCCCCAAAAAACACCCCCTCGCTATGTGTCTATATAGCGCGCGCACCACGAAATCCAGGAATGAATGCAATTATGCGACAAAATTTCCAACATAATCGAAATCACCAAAGAGATGAAACCGCGATGAAACTGTAAAACAAAGCCAGTTTCGGCATTCGTCACACCGCATTAAATTGAAAAATGGTCCATGAAACGAAAATCAAATGAGGCGAGGGCGAACGAAACGTGAAAACAAAGAGAAAAAAACTAATCAATTGATTAATTCAATCAGTTTTCTCAGAAAACCGAAGTTTCATGCTTTAAACCAACTAAATTAAAACTCTCGCTTTCTAGCAGGCCGACTTCCATGTGAAACGAACTTAAAGATCAAATTCAATTACCGGGCGAACAGTCTCCATTCAAGTTGGGACTTCGAATCCTCTTCTGTGGTTTCCTTATGCTGCCCGGTTTCCTGGGCTCCAAAAAGTTGTCGGGGCTCAGTAGGTTCGAATTCTTCGGAGTAGTCACGTACTCGAAGTCAAACGACTTCTTCGGAGTGCTCAATTGGGTATCAACCTTAGCAAATTGATATTTTATTAACGGCTTAGTAGGTGTATCATTTATATTGTCGATACGATTGATGGGCTTCAGTGTATTCGACTTGCTCATATTGTTAATAAGCTCATTACCAATTTGTATTGTTTCTGCCTAACAATATATAAGTAATCATTATCACCACTTTATGTTATTAAAAGATATTAAAACCTTACCGATTTAACTCTGATTGGCATCTTCATTGCGCCAGTGCTTATTTTCAAAGGTAGACCGCGATTCTTTCTAGCCAAAAGTAGGAAGTAAGTTGCTGTGTCATAATCGTATCGCCACCGTTTCAAATGCTTCCACATATCGTCGTCGGTCGTACCGTGGTACTGGGACATCAAACTTATTACATCATTATCCTGACTGTGAGGATCATCACTCTTTATCTTTACTGGGTCTAAAATTCCTAGTGTTAACCAATGGTGCGAGAGCAACTCGTTCACGGTTATCCTATTCTTCGGATCAACTTGCAGCATTTGTCTAATCAACTTTTTACTTGAAGAAGACATAAACGCAGGCTCTTCGTACTTTCCGCTCTAAATACACAACAGTTTTATTTAAATTTATAAATTGTAAATATTAATTTTATTACCAAAATTTTCTTATATAAACTATCTATATTTTGATCATCAAATGGCAGAAAGCCAGCTAATAGTGCATACAATAATACACCCATAGCCCATACATCAACTTCTGGACCTAAATATTGTTTACCAAGGACCAACTCAGGAGCAGCATAAGTGGGTGAACCACAGGATGTGAATAATGGACTAGTCATTCCTCCATCAGGTCTTGCACATAAACCAAAATCAATCAGTTTCAAATTCTGAGCATAATCTAACAAAACATTCTCCTAAAAAATATATATATTTCAATAATGTATACACTTACATCACTTAATTAAACTTACAGGTTTTAAATCCCTATGTGCATAACCAAAACTATGTAAATAAGCTACAGCAGATACAATTTGTCTAAAAAATATGCGACTTTCAGTTTCTGTCAACCGATTCTTCTCCACTATATGATCAAATAATTCTCCCCCTGAGCAGTACTCAACGATCAAGAAAAAATGAGTATCAGTTTCAATCACCTACAATAAAAACAGCAATTAATACTATATGAACATATTCCGATTATCTGCAATTACCTGATATAGTTTACATATATGAGAATGTGATAATGTTTTCAAAGCCTTCAACTCCAATTTCACCCGAGGCAAGTCATCTTTTAATACTGACTTCTCCATGATCTTAATAGCAACCTTCTCACCTGTTGCTATGTGAGTTGCAAGTTTGACTTTAGCAAAGCCTCCACAGCCGATGGTCCTCTCCACATCATAAAACCCTTTTAATGCACTGTACCTCATATTTTAATTCTATACAAATTTTAATAAATAATACTAAACGAATTAAATACAATAGCAAAACACGTTTAATAGATACTAATCAATATTGCTACGATCTTTGTCATTTGCAAAGATGAAACCAGAAACCTTACAAACATGTAGTTCTTTACAACTTTTTTTTCCATCCACTATTGTTTACTATAACGTATTTCATTGACTTTCAAATTTGAAAAGCAAATGACAGAACAGTAAAGCAGTGTCGGCAATATAAGCAAATTAAATTTACTACACTACATCCATATGATACAACTTCACATTGTACATAAAATCTACTTCATATAAAACCTAATCAATATTTGTTGTGAGTAGTCGCAAGTTTTTAATGGTCATTATTTAAAAATAAAATATGGATTGCATTTTGTACGTTTATTTAAAATACGTTTCTGATAGAGTTTCAAGTATTGCACAAAACAATGTTGGAATGGAAATAATATATAATGCAGGGTGTTTAGAAAATTGTATACAGAATGTAGAGGAAATGTAAGGGAAATTAATTTATGAAAATTTACTGTAAATATATACTCTGTAGAATGTCTAATAATAATCCAGATATGGCATCAGATGATATGAGTGCCAAAAGAAAGCGAGTTGCGATTAGCATAAGGGATAAATTAGATATATTAAATTCTTTAGCTAATGGTACCACAGCAAAGTCTTTGTGCTCTAAATATGGTTTAGGTTTATCCACTATCTATGATTTGAAAAGGCAAAAAAATAAATTGTTAAAGTTCTATGGTGCCAGTGACCTTCCAGACTTGATGGCAACTAGGAAAACCCTTCATCTAGCAAAGAATGTTTCTGTGGACCAAGTATTAACAGAATGGATTAAACAATGTAACAAAGATAAAATACCACTGACACGTACACAGATAATTGCTCAGGCCAAAGTATTCCATGAGAAGTTAAATATTACAGTTCCATGTGAATATTCATCTGGTTGGTATGGGAAGTTTAAGAGGAGGTATGGTCTTTTTAAGATGGATGATAAAAATGCCACTGATTTTGAAGTTGCTCAAGAGTATTTGGAGGAGTTGAATAAATCAGATTGTGATGATAGTTTAACTCATGCACAAGCAAATGCACCAATTAAGTCTGAAGCAATAATAACTGACTTGGATAATACCAATAAAGCAAAATTGTTAGTAATTGGAAGAGATGAAAAACAGTGGAAAATTCATGGACGCCATAACTTATTATTTGTAAATGATACAACTAACCAGGAACCAAAGATTCTAGGTTTCACTGTTGCTGAGGAAGAACAGGAATCTACTGTCAAATGTGAAACATTTGAGCCATTGGATGAAGAGAGTCTTAATATAAATAATATTGATGATCTATCTAATGAAATGATAGATAATGAAATATTAAATATGGTTGTTAATGACTCCTCAAATGAAAATACTCAGCAGAATATTGTTACAGAAGAAAAAGTTTCTGTGGATAGGATGATAAGCCTTTCTGATGAAATGATTAATGGTATGAAACAGAGGAGTTTCATAACAGATGAACAAATACTGAGCATGTATAACATCAGAGAGTTATTTCTAAAAGAAAAATTAGAACAAAAGAACTATTTTAACTTGCATCTTGCTACACATAAAAATAAATCTAAACTAAATTGCATTCCTTCTACTATTTCTGTTTCTGCAGATATCCTATCCCAACAAAAAATTTCTTCTCCTTTGTAAACCTTCATTCCAATTGATCATGTATTTTAATTAGTAACAATCTCTACAAAATAATTTATCAGTAATTGAAGCAAATATCCTTCTTTATTGTTAAAATATTATAAATATTTGTACAAGGTAATTCCTTATATTATTTATAAAATTTCTTTACCTTATATTACTTTCATCAAATATATTTTATAAAATAAATAACTTAAATATCTTTTATTTATTACCAATCATTAGTGTCTGCTAAATCAGCAAACATTTTGTCCTTAATTTTTGGTTTAGGATCTTCCTTGATATCAGTTTGAATAGCTCCAGTCTTTCCAATAATATACTCAAATTCTAAAATACAAGGAACCAAATTTATAAAAGATAATGACACAAACTATTTTCAAAATACCATCTTGAGTAAGGTTTGGACCCCTAAATTCCAAAGCACCAACAAGTTGCTTCTTAATATCTCCTTCGAAGTAAACAAAAATGCCAGGTAAATTTTTATCTGGGAAATTCGGTATACATGTTGTGGAAATGGATTTCAAAAACTTAACAGTTTTATACTTCATAGCCAATACTTGCATGTACTGATTGATTAAAGCACAAAGTGGAATACCTGGTTTGTATAAATGCAGAACAACCCAGATACCATCACCTGCCTTATTCACCTCTTGTACATAATCCTGGCCTGAAATTTCCATAACATAACCAAATCTTTCCTTAGAAGCCATAGCCTGTAATTCAGCTATCCTTTTATTTCTATATTCCAATAAAATTTCTTCATCTTCAGAATCTTCCAATTCATCAAGTTCATCTAGATTCATGTCAGATAGTTGCTCTGAAATTTAAACCATTTATAAACAATATCTGATTGAACAACATTCACAGGTAACCTACTTCCATTTTGTTGTTGCTTCTGTTCAATGGTTTGTTCCAACATGTTAACAATTTCATCTTCAGTGATCTGCTTTTCTTTCTGTGGAATGATTCCTTTTGCCCGGAGGACATCATTCCATTCAGTGTCTTCATTTGGATTCTGAGAATTTATAAGGATGAAACTGAGTGATTCATTATTCATATAAGGTTATGGAAAATATTAAAATTTACCTGCATTTTCCGCAAAGAACTAAATCAAATTCTAGGATCAAATTAATCTGCCACAAAAACCTTATTTGGTCACGCTCTGGAAATTATGGGTACAATAAACTTATAAAAAGATTTTAAACTCGGGAGGAGGTGTGGTAAAAATAAACCAATCTGAAGTTAGCGTTACTTCACTTGAACGACTTCAACTGTTTAAAAATTTCATTTACTTAGTAACATATTTATATTATTTTAATTATTCGTGTGTCTTAGAACAATTAAAATTATTAACATAAAATTGGATAAATCCGCTCTCAAAGCCTATATCATTGCATATTTAAATCTTTACAAAAGTAATTCATGAACAAACTTGTATACAAAAATAACAAAATTACTGTTCTAAAATCGATGAATAAAATATTCATCGACTTTGGAGTTATGTTCGGGAACCGAGGTTTCATTGCATTTTTTGAAACTGCCATCTATGTATGAATTTGTCAACTACATATATGGCAACAGTGTCGAATGAATCCAAAGCTGATTGGTCACCCTTCTCAGACGTTTTTACCAGTTTTTACACTCTAAACAAAAAGGTGGAACAGCTGAGAGAAACATCAAAACAATATTGAGTATTTTTTAAACATATTTTGGTAGTAAATTCGTGAGTATAGTGCGAAGCAATGGATTCGTCAGTGAGGAAGGTCCCTGTTTTTGTATACCCAACTACTTTGAAATTTTTCCTGGGATCACGGCAGTCCCATAAACAATTGTTGACCCTATACAATCCATATGAATTTAGAGTGAGATTCAAAGGTAATCATATTAATCACTTATTGTAGCATAATAATAAATTATTTGTTTTTTAGTGCTATCCACAGCACCAAAGAAGTATATGGTCATTGATCCAACTGGTAGCATAGGCCCACAAGCATGTGTTGACATTGTTGTAAGACATACAATGCCAAATGTTGGCAATTGTAATGTTGTTGATAAGTTTAGAATATCAATGGAGGATCACACCACTAAAGCAGTAATTATATCAGCTTAGAAATGTGAACTGTATATATTAATTTGTATTTTTTAGGTTCTAGGTAAGAGAGACATTGAAGCTAGACTTTTAAATGGGGAACAAGACAATAATTCCAATGATGGTGACAAATTTGATACTATGCCTAACAGTGATAGTCATAGTGAGGACCAGAGAAATGTTCAATATTCAATGAATATGGGTAATGAATCAAGGGGTCCAACTTCTCAACAATTGATGGCAATTGTAATAGGGATTTTCTGTTGTCTGGCATTACTCTGGCCTTGTCAGCAGGATTCTCCAGTAGTGTCAACAATCATTCCTCCATATATGTACATCACTACCACTGTCAAACTTGTCCTTGCCTATATATTAGGACTTATCACTATAGTGATTTTTAGACCATAATTATGAAAATTTATTACTATTTAACAAAAATCCAAAGAGTAAACAAACTGACCCTGTGAACAAATGATTTTTCTTCAGTTACCATTACAGTTTTGAAAATTGTACAATTCTTGCACAGTATGACATATTTTTTATTATTTTTGTGTTTATTCTTCTGGCATATGGATAAGTTTAAATGGTGTAAGTGTGAAAGGCTGAGCGCTGAATATATTTTTTTATTCAAATTTATTTATTACTTATAAATAAATGACTTCCTTTTATAAAAATTGCAATTGTTTCATTTCCTAACGAATTTTAAATATTCAATTGACCACTCTAAATTAAATGAATGTTTTTAATCTAGAAATATTAGAATTTTAGATATGCGTATATAGAGGAGATTAAAAGTTTCGCAAAAAAGCACACTTAAAATGGTAATTTAAAGTCCCAGATTAGGGTCACAATATAATTTATTATTCACTGCAATAGGTTGAATTCTATCTCCGGAAGAAATTTAAGTATCTCCTCTATTTTAATTAACATCTTTACATAACCCGAGGAGTGAAATTTGTTTTGAATGAAATGTAGAAATGAGAAAAGCATGCACAGCGTAATTTATATAAGCCGGTAATATTTTAAACCAATGCTAGTTTTTAAATTACAATATTAACTATTCACGTTTATTATTATTGACTCAGATATTTACATATAAATATTTCGATGACAATCAATCAACATATAGAAGATAATAACATAATATTTATAAACATATCACTTTGCTCATGTATTTCGCAACTCTATTCTGAATATATGCTCATAATAAGCTAGATTATTTTTTTATAAAACTTTTAAAAATGTAAATCTTTATATAACAATTGGATTGTTATATATGTAAAGATAAATTATAATGTAATATATTTATATATATTTTTTTTGGAAATGTTGACCTATTTACAAAAGCTTCAATATTTAATAGATTTTATGAAGGTCGCAATAGACAAAGGGCACTTTTGTTGCTCGATACACATATGCAATGTATGTCGAATTTTAGGTCCAAAATTTCAGTGAGTAGGCTCTGGATCAATGCATGCGTTTCCATCCAGATCAATGCTTAATGTAGTATGAAGTCCCTTGTTTAATGTCACTTCCCTATAATAAATGTAAGTCTATATAAAATGTCGGTTAACGTTTAAATGTAGAGTATTTTAGTTCAAAATAAATATACCAATTTGGTAGCTAAGAACTATTTAGAAATACATTTCGAATTATTTAAAAACATAGAAATATTTTAAGTATCAATGGTAATAAGTAATTTTGGAAATCTAAAAATATTTGCTTTCCGTTAAAAATGATAAGTAATATTCGTTTCAGAGACGGATTTTCTAAATCTTTTGTTTCTTTGATGATAGACACATTTGCAAATTTTCTGTCCCACTTGTTTTACCGCACAATTTAGGCAACTACTGCGTGTACTTTTGATTACTGGAGCTTATGTTAGATAAGAGATGGTTTGACAACATAAAAGACAAATTTCATAAGAAATTTGATCTTAATTCTACTAATTATTTAAAAGTTATAACAAACTGAGAAAATTTCCATTATGAAGGAAATAAAGAGAGTCGAGTTAGGGAGTTGAAGATAATGGAAGTTCTTTTATAGTTGTTATAGTGATTGGATACTATACTAAAGTCTAGAGTTTTCCTTGGATTTAAATTGATGGTACTTCAAACTTCGCCGCAGATAAATTGTTTAATTAGGACAATATACGTATTTAGAAGTACAGTTTAGGAACTCAAGAATTATTTACTTTCTACTGCAAAAATTTGCCAAACAAATATTTTTAACTTAATAATAATAAACAAAATTTATACATACGGTATTCGCCGCAGTGTTTCCGCCCTTTTAACTTTATATAATCCTTGTAAATTACTTTTTTTATAAGCAATTATGCATATCCTTTGTCTACAGTTATTCTAAGAAATAATTAATTGCATGACATATTATTCATATATAGTACCTGATAATATGTCTTTACAGAGATATTGGTGTATTTAATCAAATTCGGTTTTCACATTTGAAATAACAAAATATTTCTTCAAATTTTAAGATACTCTATATCTAGAATATATTAGTCTGGCTAAATGAGCACAAGCTCACATGTACGCCACCCCTTAAAAATAACTCTATGTATATGAATCTACACATAATAAATACTTTTAAACTTCAACTTCATATATTAGTTTCCATATCAAAGAAAGTCTATTTATGTAAGGTTTTTATTTCAAAAATTATAGGTGTGGTTAATATATTATGTTAGTATCTTAAGCCTATTTATTTTTGCTCAACATTGTATGTATACGGAGCATTGTATAATCCGGAACTTCTCTTCTCATCGTCACTCGTTATGCGAAACGTTGTTCGTCAAGCGAGTCATTTTCGTACAATTCATTTTGCTCGTTAAGCGAATTTCCACTGTACATTAGTAATTATCTTCAAAAGTTTTTTTTATTAAACTTGAAACAAAATGAAACAATGACATAATTAATAAAAAAATACTTGTATATTTATTTAAAGTTTGCTTTATATAATATTTCGATAATAGGGTTTAAAAGCAAATTTTGTTAAATCTGAATGAAGAAAATAATTGTATATGAAATGTCCACACGAAGAATTTGTCTCATTTGAAAATTGAACCAATTTTATAAGTACATTGCGGGTAGTCGGTTCAACCAATATATCACACTGTTTGAAACCGGACTAATCGAGAACTCTAAACCACATAAAAATTAATAGTACAAAATGGGACTTATATAGACAAGAAAAGGATTGATTATATATAAAAATAATTTTGTGCACTAATTTTTTAAAATGTATTTATATTTTAATGAATTAAAATTTGGTTTATTTTGACAATTTTCAACTAAACTATGGTGAATCCACACTGATCGAATCCATCACTCCATTGCTGTATAGATTTATGAGTTTTTTTTAAATGTATCATGGTATTTAAAAAAGGATATTAATTATATTACATTAATATTTATATTCAAGTTGCTTCTGGATGTGTGACATAATAATTTTTAGACAATTTTATAGATATTTTTTAAATAAACTATATATATACCATTACATCTACAGAAGTAAGAAAATATTTAAAACATTTTTAGCAAAACAGACAATAATGTAATACGTATTGCATACCTATGATTATCTGTGAAATACGTTAATTTTAGTCATAAACTTGGAAGTATGGGCATACTTGATATAATTAACACCATGTCTTTTTGAATCCTATTTTTTCCACTGAATTAAAAAAAAAACTTTTATTATAATGGCTCAAATAATTGAGAAACGTGCATATCGAAAGTAAATCTAATGTTATATACCCAATATAACTTAATTAGCTTAAGATAAATACATCGGATAATCGGAATAATCAGAAAAGTATGTGTTCAAGTAAAAAAAAAGTATTTTTAATTATTAGCAAATGCAAAGATAACTGGATAACTGTTTGAATTTGTGTTTTACTGCTACGTTTTGTTCAATTTAAGCTGTAGTTGCTTTTGTTCTACATGATTTAAATAGATAAAAATCGTATTTTATGGTTGATGTCTTCTTACAATATAATCTAATTATGTTCAAATTATAATTATAATTATAAAAAATCGTTGCTTAATACCTAACGCGTTAACCAACAGTGTCGACCCTGAGTTTGGCTACCACAATGTATAATATTTAATGAGTTTCGTGTTTCCCTATGCATATGCCATGCAAATAATGAGCTGGTTTTGGATTTCTTTAATTAAATTTCCAAGTTAATTACGGTCTTCGTCGAATTTATATACGTATATCATTAAAGTTGCATGTGTTACTCGACTCAGCGGAGCACGATTCCCGATTTCCTATTGGAGTTTAATGAAGGATCTACCAATAGACGATACTTGATGATTGCAGCTGAGATGAGAGAGAGTTGGGGGCGGCGGAGGCGAGCATCCGGGGGAGCGGGAATTCGTTATCTGTAGAGTATGACGCGAAAGCTGCGAACGTTAAGCGCTCTCGAGCAAAAAGGGGGATGGCGCGGGGGTGGCGTTGCGCCGCCGGCATCCTGGCAGTAGCCTCGAAGCCGCCGCTCAGTGCAGACCTCCACCACATCGCCACCTCCGGAAAACCAACCCCCTGCAAAAAATATCGAACCTACCATCGTTTACACACACACACATATACACGCAGAGATACAAACGTGAGGAAGAGGGGGATTCGCAACAAGTAAAGCTCGGCGATAAATAATACAAAAGAAGAAGGTAAAACTGAACAGAATCATTATATAGATATAGGTTTTAAAGGAAGAGCGGAACGTATGCATGAATATTTTTCAATTTCCGGTTTCACGGGTGGGCGGTGAATGTTTCAAATAGAAACCACCGGCCGTGCTCGAAATGTGCTTAATGGCACTTTAAAGTTTCTCCAATGATGAACGATCGCTCGGTCGACTCCCCCGCCGCACAGTTAGATCTCCGAATATGATAAAGTTCGCACGCAAAGCGAGATAAATTTAGATTTATTACATTTGTAGCGTTCGATTATTTAACTCCGAATTTCAATTGCAACCCTCTAACCGAGGAAGCAGGGACGTATTGGGCTCCAATTTCCTAGGTACTTTCTCAACGGAAAGTTCAGAGACTCATCGGCTGGGACCCGGATCGCAGCATTTCCGCGCATGCATCTCGAAAAGTAATTACTCGAAACTTTCGTACACAACAATGCTTTCAGCGCAAAATGTAATTCAATCCGAAACGAATGTCATCTGAACTTTTACGGATTACTTCGAGTACGCATTTTATCCAGTATACCGTTCCTTCTATACATACTTTAATATAATTAAAACCGATGATCGTTTCTATTGACACCAATCAACGTGACGTCAATCGGCAATTCTTCGCTACCAATTACCTAGTTGGCCTGGCTCGCTTCGCCCACGTCACTTATCAGTTGATAATAGAAATAAACCAGACCTTGCTTTAACTTCAATAAAAATGTATTCCCTATACCGAAATAAACCTGGGAACGTAATCAGATTAATTTCAGGTGAGTAATCTAAGCGCGATTAGGGAATGCGCGAGGAAGGGTGGTGGTTAGAGATTGGAAGAAGGCGTGCGAGTTTCGTACTGATAAGGTCAAATGGAAAATGCCACCCCCGCAATGACCCTAACACACACTCTCTTCTATATCTATATATGTATATTATATATATATATACACATGTATATCTGAACCTTATATCGGTTACGTGCTTGCTCTCCATTCTTGTGAGCTTTCTCTGTTATGGATTAAAGCTTATGCAAATCTGGCGATACACGCACGTTAATCTCGTTCGCAACTAAAACAACTAAAAAGAAAATCGGTCATTTGCATAGCCCCGAATGCGGCTCGCTAATAGAAGTTGTGCTTTCAGAATTTATGTATTCTCGTTTACTTCCTACTTTTCGCAACCCTAAATTCTTATTCCGCGTGTGCAGCTTCGCCACAGGCCTTTCGCTCTATTGACAAACTGTTCGATAATGCCAAGGTGAGAAGCACGCTACAAAAAAAAATGGATAGGGTGAGAGCGGAAAGAAAGAGAGAGTGAGAACCCCATTCACAGTATTTCCTTGATATTTTTGGATTATCATCTCATCCGCTAAGGGTCATACTATGCGGTAATAAAAGCTATCATTAGAACCAATGAAGACATTATTAAAGTAAATAATTCCAATTTTCTTGCTATGTAATCGATACAGCCATTCGACGTTTATACTGTAACAGAGTTATTTGATCAATTCGACTTACTTAAATATCAAACCTCAAGAAACTATAATTTCTCAGTAATCACCTATTAACAAATCCATTTAAAGTACTTCAAATCCTTCGAATCCAATAACAATTTCATATTTCATAATTTCGAATTTGAAGATGCAACTGAGATTTCATATATGAAATGAAACAGTTTATTACGAAAAGCTCGTTAAAGTTAGATATTAAAAAGAATAATTTTAGACAAATTAAAACTACATTTTATGAACAAATAATTATTTTAATCCACGGCAATATTGATAAACCTTGATTTATTACCATTTATTGTACAGCAATACTTCGCATAGTCCGCCTTTCATCAATCCGCTTGGAAATTTTCTAAACAAGTTAATATTAATCGAGCAAAATAAATTCGATTACAATTTATTTTCGTGTGTATTTAGTTGTTTGAATTCAGACAGATCAGCTAAAGAGCATATTATGTGGTAATAAAAGCTATCATTAGATCCATTGAAGGCACTATTAAAGTAAATAATTCTCAATATAATCGATACAGCCATTCTACTTTTATATTATAGCAGAGCTATTTGATCAATTCTCGATACAAATGTTTAAAGCCCATAAAACTTTAATATCACATCAATTCAATCATTTTAATAACAATATTTATTGCAAACAAATTAATTATATAAAAACTCAGACTAGGCCTAATAAATATATTTATATTCAAACATTCCAGTAAGAAAATTTAAAAACAAACTAAACTTTAATTCAGTTAAATACAAATTTATCCCTTTGCAGCAAATCAATTTAATATTTCTTATTATGTTTTTTTTTTGATGAGTTTATTAAAACAATAAGTAGAAAGACCTATAATCAATAGACAGTTGACTTTTTATTTCTATTGTTGTTGTATTAAGGTTTTATTATGTTTATTTTCTAAAAAAAATAGTACAGTAAATTACAGTAATACTATAACACGATACTCTCATAATGCATTCTCCATATAATTAATCGCGTTTACTGGTATTAATAAAAAATGAAACAATTATTTGTAATCTTTATATACATTAAAACGAACATTGTATTTCCGTGTTCATTATCGTAAATTAAATTAAATAAATATTTAGAACAGTTACAATTTTATTTTATATACTACAACGTTTATAAATCAATATGTATAATAAAAAAACTTCTATCGTTCATTTTAATAGCAAAAAAAAGATGTAGATGGATAACTTTTAAAAGATACTTTCACGTTGATACTGCTAGAGGCAACGTTAGGCTGCAACAACTACAGAACCATGAAGTAAAATTAGTACTAGTGAATACCAGTCACTACAATATCGATTGTAATTACGCTTACATTGTATTTAATCATAGTTATATTAAAGATAATCGAGGACAAGTTGATAACAACAAGAATATAACAAATTAAAGATGTCGGAAGACCCAGACGCTTTGCAAGTACCAGAACTACCAAAATACCAGCAAATAAACAAAAATACAAAAATCGAAGAAGCAATCATACTTAATCCACCAGATTACCTGCAAATAAAAAACAGCGAAAATATGGCCGTTGAATGGGAAACGTGGTTACAGCAGTACGAATGGTTTGAAACAGCATCTAACCTTAAAAAGAAGAATAAAAAAATGCAAGTGGCTACTTTCATGTCAATAATTGGATCAGAGGCTATCAGCATCTACAATACCTTTAGATTATCTAAGATAGATCAAAAAAACCTACAAGTGATAAAGGAAAAGTTCAGTGAATATTTTATTCCCAAGACAAATGTTACATGTGAAAGGTTCATGTTCTTCAAAAGAGAATATAAAACTGAAGAAACAATTGATGACTATGTAAGAGCATTAAGACTTAGAAGTAAAAATTGTGAATTTGGTGAATTAGAAGATAGCTTTATAAGAGACAAGCTGGTCACTGGAATAAAGAATGACGCGGTAAGATTAAAACTGTTATCTGAAGAAGAGCTTACATTGGAAAGAGCAATAGATATATGCAAAACCAATGAACAGACAGAAAATCTATTAGAATCGTTAAAATTTCATGATATGCAGCAAGTAGATTCAGTAAAACATAAAGTTAAAGAACAGACTGAGAAACAGAAGTCTGAAGATGATAAATGTGTTTGTAAGAGATGTGGAACAAGACATGGCAGGAAGTTATGCCCAGCATTTGACAAAGAATGTATTAAGTGCAAAAGGAAGGGACACTTTGCTAGATGTTGCAGAACTAAGCAAGTGCAAACAGTGAGTACTCTAAATGAAGACATGGCCAATTAAGAGGTACCAGTGAACTCAATCGAAAGCAAAGAAGATGATTCGTTTGAAATATTAACATTACCTGAAGAAGCAAATAAAAAGAAACATTTAAAAACACAATAGCTAGAATAAAATTATTAATTAGAAGTTACAACTAATCTTGTGAAAGATTAGAATTGATCAAAACAATTGATTGTCTGAAATTTATAACTAGAAGAATACCGTTTGCTACATACTTAAAACATTATAGTGAAATAAACACTGTTGCCGAAAGTAGTTTCAAAGAGTTTTGGTAAGAACAGAAAGAAAAGTTGGATATATGTAAAAAAATATTCAGAAAACCTTGAGAATACATGGGAGAAAATTAAGACGAAATGGTTGTAACATTGCATTTCAACTGATCTTATTTTTTAAATATTGTGATGTAATTATTGTAGTAAATATTATTATTTTATTTATTAACAATGTATTAAATGTATTATTAAATATTTTTTTATTCACAATAATTGCATAATATTTTATTTAATCTAAGACGCACTACTAAATCTTCCTTTAATATATAATAGTTCTTTGAAAAACACGAAAACCTTTAAATGCCTAAAATGCTTGTTCGCTTCATAAGCAAACCAATAATAGTTCTCTTTACTCATAGAGCTCCTTTATAGAAGTTTCTTTTGTTGTCCTATAATTAAATGCAGAGTTTTCCCGTTCTTCGCAACGTTTTTCATAATACGAAAGTATTTATTCACGTTATTAAATTCTCTTTCAGTGATACACACATTTAAAATGAATGCTGATTATGTTCTGATTAATATAATTTATTTCGTTTAATGTCCTACATAAGGAAATTTCTTAAACTTAATTTAAAATTATTAATAGCCATTATGTTCTTGTTGAATTTAATTATTTGTTATGATTATTGCATGTAATTTGTTCTATCTAGTACATATTCAGTTTATATTGGAATAAATGTTGTAGTTTTATTTTGATTGGATAAGAATTTGATATTGATTTCAATATTTTTTTACCCAAAAATGAATACTAGTTCTTGAAGGCGTGAGAAACATCCAATAATTTATTTAATATCACATATTTCGAAATTATAAAAATTAAACTTCAATATTCATCATTTTTGTGTCCACATAAGAGAGTTCCGAATTCATAGTTATAATATGTTGTGAAATATAGTAATTATTGATTTATACTGTGGGAGTAAAATGTTGTTTATAACACACACGCAAAACTTATCACAAGATTATAATAAAATAGCTGATAGGCTAATTATCAAGACACGCGAAATTCATAAAATTTGTGTTCAGAGTTAAAAATAAATAGTCAACTTCAACTCTAAATCATATTTAGAAATTTGAGTCTAAAGTTGATTGTTTGTGCTGTTTCTCCTTCAATTATGAAGGATTGCATTTAACACTGTCGTTTAACAATAATAGTTTTTGTTAAATCATGATCATTTTCAATAAATAAAGTCATTTTGTTTGAAATTTCGTTATTTCGAAGCTTAGTTATAGCTTAGTATAGCTGTATATGTATTTCAATTGCAGATATCTGTTAAATATACTCGCATCCGTTATTAAATTTATGTATCCATTGGGGAGAATACAAGATGTCATTTCCAATTCAGAATGACAAGCCAGTAACGTGTATTAGCCACAGATGAGTGGGCTGTAAAACATAATCTGATGGATATAGCTATTGACAATTGTAAAATGATGGCCAGTTATTGTATTTTGTAGACATAAAATCGATATTACTCGCTTTAGTACATAATAATTTAACATTCCGTGTAAATATAGTTAAATCTTTAACAATGTAAATGATCAAAATCAATGATGTTTTTAATACGTTTTTATGATAAAAAAAATATTGTACATACTTATTATACACTTATATTTAATTAAAACAAAGAAATCAATCAGGTATATACTTTTATTGTACATAGTTTTTTTTTCCTATTTTTGCTGTTGGTCTTTTATATGATGCATCTGCAATTTGATGTAGTCTATGGTATCGGATGTACAAGCTTCACTGTAAACTACTCCAATGCATTAAAATAATTGCCACGTTTTCCCGATTGCTGTCTGCCTTTCGTACTAAATGGACCTGTATTTTTTATTTGCACATTTCAATATTGAAATAATTACTCTATAGCCCTTTTAAACTAAAAGAGGTCAAACACGATAATAGTTTATTTGCATTAGACTGTCCTGTCGCTTTTAAAATATGTGAATTATATCGATTTAAAACAACTAACACCTAGAATTATTACTCATAACGAGCAACTAATTACAAATTAAATAAAAATGAATGGATACTTGACAGCAATTAAAAGTTAAGCATCATTTATTCTTAATGATATTTGAATGGGCAGTACTTGCAAATTATTTTACATAAACTAAATTGTTTACCAGGATAATAAAGATTATTATTGTATTTTTTTTGTTATTATTTTTCCAAGATAGGAGTTTATAGAATAATAATTTCCGAAAATTCAATAATGGCTCAATAAATTGATCTAAATTAGTAATTTTAGGTTGTATGATCAATCTCTACTGGACGTATTAATACAAGTGAGAGTATTACTAAAAACAAATGAGTTTAGAATATTACATTTGTTTCATAATTGTTTTATTGTTCGTCACATTTTATGTTTCCTTTACAACTATATTTCGTAGCTTGTTAAGTTGAAAATGGTATAAAAAGGACTTTATTTTTCAGCTCATTATAGGGTTCCCTTTCTTCGCTTTGTCATTTAATTTATTTCCTAACATTCAGAATTTAATTGGCTGTTTGTGCATTTTGTGATATACGTTCCTTGTTCGTAACTTTATAGATGTTTTCACTTATTCATTTAATTTAAGCATCCATAGAAAACAAAATGAATGAAATACGTATACAACGTTGTTCATACTTTCTTCTACGATGTATTTTACATTTATGCTGTTGTTTTTTCAGTTTTCAGCTAGTTCAACTAAATTTATTTTTCTGAAAGTTTTCACCATGATATAAAATACATAAACTATGTAGAAAGTTTAACATGTTATCAGTAGCGTAACAAGAAGTGAGATGAGCAAATGTGTGAGCAAAGTTAATGGGCTTTTATTGAATTCGTGGGCTCCACGTAATGTTTTATTTAAATGACTGAGACAAATTTTAATTTGGTGGCCCATCGAATATGAATTTGGTTTACCAAAAAGATTTCGTCTTAATTTTAAAAAAATATCTAGGGGTTATTACGTGTCCGCTGCACATTGCTACGACACTGCTCGTTATACACAATGTCTTTTTCCTTTATGGAATTATACACATTAACTAGTCATTATATAGAATGTAGAATTATCAACTTTGCCGCTGATATATATCTAACACTGTTATCCGCAGTGAAATTGAAACAATAATGAAATTTCAAAGTTTAATGAGAAAATTATGATTACTTATATGTATTATTATAAATTCAATATATTGATAAATTGTCGTCTAAAACGCATTTCTATATTGCATCACTATCAATATAGGTATATGTTGAGCATTCAATTTTACGAGGAGTATTTCCTAGTCGATACATAAAGCCCCAAACAGATACATCATAGGTTCAATATACACCAGTAAAGTTCAAAGTTTGTACACTTTCTGTATTAAGGTGAACAACTATTTTTTGTTCAAAGAGAGTACGGATTGAATTGAATATGTTTAGATTGCGATAAAAACTAAACAAAAACTTTAGTGGTCATAAATTTTATAATGTAGATAAACTGTTATGTCCATCCATATGAAGTGTATTGATGCGAGCAATGACGTAGTTAGAATACTTCTTTTATATAAATTAATACAAAGTATAAGACGCAGAGTGGACAAAACCAATCGAGAGCAGCGATCGAATCTTATTACGGATAAACAATCCAATTCCGTGGGAACACTTAGTTTAATTTATAATATTTAGCAATAAAAGTGTTGTAAACCATTTGAATTGAATTTAAAATCCTAATATTTGCCACACAACAGCAGACAACAAATATTCTTTGAGATTTGATACATTATTTTGAGTTCTATTTTATATAAGTCTTATTGTTGTATGCATTTAATTTTTCGATTAGTCTGGTTTCAAACAGTCCTGGTACTATGCGGAATCGATTACCCGCACTAGAAAATTATTTCTGTACTTATTTTAAATGTATTTAAAATACCATTAAATATTAAGTAGGTCTATATTTAAGTATTGCTATGTTGTCTATTATACTGGTATACAATTATGTTATATATTGTATTATTATATGACTATATATTTTTATGCTTGGAAATCTGTATGTATTGTATTTTTCTTAATTATGAAGAACAAAAGCGGTATATACTTTTTAATTTTAGATCCTGTCTTATATTATTGTGTACGAAGAAAATGAAACGGTTTTTATTCATGGCTTTAATATTTTTCACTAAAAATTGCTGGTTTGTCCTAAGTATAAGGTAATGAAAATAATCGTTGCGTAATGAAAGTGACGATAGGTAAATTAAATGTAAATATGCTCCTATATTAGTCAAATAATATTCGGTTAGAACAGAAGTCAGCAACCTTTTTGGAACGAATAGCCGCACGCAATGATGAGTACCGTGTGCTGACCAATCGAACCAATTATTCTTTAACAATGATAAGAGCCGCAATTACTCATTCAAAGAGCCGCGTGTTTCCGCCACTGGGTTAGAAATTTTACAATAATTAATATAAATGTATGTACAAGTACTTTTAATCAAAGTAGTAGTTAACAATGTGGATAAAATGAATGCACTATTTGTCTTGTCATGCCATTGTAAATCTATTTAATAGTCAGAACATTATTATGTGATTCCAATCTTCCTTTGCTACATACATTTGTATCCTAAAGTTTTACAATATATCAATCCGAATTCCAATAAATGTTCATGTTAGTAATACAACTCAGGGAAATTATATACTTATTAAGCGTTTCTATTTCAAATAGTTTAATTACTATTATGTATACCACTGTTTTTCAACATTTTATTTTAACTCACTGCACACTTTTTTTGTAGAGGAGAGGAAACATTACATAGGGATCACGGGTGGAGTCGTGGTACTGTGGGTTTCTTACCGCACTAAAACCTCTCCTCTTCTTCATCAGCATACAGGACCTGTATCACTGTACTACTTTGCGATGCTGATTGTCTTTGCCTGATTGGCACTTCCCTTGGATCATTAGTGCTGGCCTCCACTGCCACTGTCCTCGTAGGCCCTCTGCAGCCTCCGCTCGTCTTCTTCTTTACTCTGTTATGCATGCTGCTACAATCTCCCAGCTATCTGCACTCTTCAGCATTTTCATACTATGAATTCCGCCTCTGCCTCGTGTTTCTTTATAAGCCATCTGCAGCACCTAAAAAGCGTGTGATTACGGCTATCGTTCTC